AGGTTTGTCCGATCTGCAGGAGATATTCGCGAATGGCGTTGCAAGGCATCTGAACCAGTAAAATGTCTTGAAGGGTTGGTACGTAGTCATTTTGTATGAATCTGTCCACGTTCTGGATAAAGCTAAAATCAAACAGGGCTTTTATGGCTATGTTGTGGATCTTGCAAATTATGTTGGCTATTCAAGCAGTTAATTGCGCTGGTTTTTAATTGTGTGTAGACCGCTATCTTAAGGAAATTGTACAATTCTAATGAGCAAACTTAATTGATAACAAAACACTACATACTCTGATTTAGCAAATTGTGACCGGCTTGGCTAAAAGGGAGAACCTTGCTTAGGTAACATTCAAAGAACATTTGGAACGGGAACTGTAAGAGTTTGAAGTGAACACTTTTTTCACTCAGTAACCACAGGCATGTGACAGGAAAGTTCATCAGTAGCAGAAAGTATAATGGGTTTCTGAGAGTTATTTCTCATCTTCTTTAAAGCAGTAAATGCGCTATCGCCAAGCTAAACGTAAATACACAACAAATGGAGTATCCTATTTTATTAATCATTTGGGCTGTAACTAGTAACAGGTTATGCTTTAGATACTGTGAACCCTGATTCATTTGCTTGTTGGTACTCAATGGCGTCTACTAGGGCGGCTGCGGAAATGTCGGTCGGTCGCTAAGCTGTTTGGAAGGGTCTTCCAGCCAGTTTGGAGGTCGCATCAAAGAATGCCGCATTGTCCACGTGCTACTATATGTTGGGGCATCACTGACACCAGATTTACTACGAAGTAAGGCGTCGAGACTGGTGGCCAGAACTCGCCACAATTTATTTCCTTTTTAATCATGCCCATGCCACATCTCTGTTTGGGTGGTAGGCAAGGCGTTTTACACGACGACGGTTCCAATACCACTACCACATGGCAACACTAATGCCCTGTCTAAACGGCAGAATTCAATTAGTAGCCAGGCAGCTTAGATATTACAAATATACCCTGAAGTGATATACTTAGAAATACCATAAAATGGCAAAGGAAGCCCTTTTCTTAATGAAAGGATTTTGCATTTGTAGAATTCCAAATAGTAATAAAAATTTGCACTTCCTTCAGTGGGAAAGCCTAATAAAAGCTCCTGTATCCTAAGCAAAACTACAAAGGATTGAAGTTCAAGCAGCAAGGCACCGCCGTTGTCCCAGAATTTGCCCAATCTTTCCAGGGTCAAATGATTGTGCATAATAACTTCGATTCATGGCTTCGAGATTTTAAAAGGACATACGTCTGATGTACTTTATTGTACCGTTAAGCACATGTAAACAAACTGACGTAGCGTAACTTGAACCCCATGCAATCCTATTAACATAAAACACGAGAACTATGCGCTGATTATAGCAACTTAGGAATCCAAGGACAAATTTAGCGGATTTGCCTGAAAATATGCATTCAAGCTCATGAGCATTGTAAAAACGATGAAAAGCTAAAGATTTTATAAATTCATATTCTCGATTTTGAAGTTATTCAGAGTGGCAATCGCAATCGTGTTTTGAGAAAGTCATAATGCTGCAGAGTAGATTGTAGGGTAATGCTATAGAAAAAAGAAGAGGGAGAGCGTTTGACCCACATGACACCCTGATTGACTGACTTAAAAGTGATTTCTTAAAACACGGCGACTGCCCCAAGCAAACGACTAGTCTCTCCAAGGGGTTCTTTTTAGCGTTAACAACATTTAAATTGTCACACTACTTTAGGTAGATAAAAGACTGTTTCTGCAACGTTTTTCAAATATTTGACTGACGATCAAAATAATGATTGCTGCCTCACCACAGACAGCCATTCAAGCACTTTACGATAATACTAACGTGGTAAAAAACTCTACCAAATGGAAACCTAGCTCAGAAGTTTGCTCCAAAAAGTATATTTAGCTTGGCATATTTTGCAGCCTGGGTTTTGCTTAGTTAGGGGGGCCTGTGTTTAGTGAGGAAACTACGAGGGTTGGAATTCGACTTATCAGTGTAACCGCGCAGCTGCCGAATATCTGTGTTCGTAGTTCACATAATCAGGTGCAGACAGCTGGAAGAAATTAAAACAAGATCACCTTTTGAGCTACTTGGTTTCACGTACACGTCCAAAATTGGGTAAATTACGGTTATTAAAGGAATTCACATGCAACGAGAATGTAAAAGCTAGCGGACATTATAGTGCTTTTAGTTAAAACGTCGAAAAAAATTATTCATATTTAAAAAATAAGTAAAAAAAGGATTTAGTGAAATCAGGGTCCGTTGTAACAAGCCTTTTTCAGTTTGGCAAATCTCATCGTTCGGTTTTTTCTCAAATAGATGCCTGCCCAGAGCAGAATAAGCTCTAGATTTAATTGGAAATTCGGTGAAAAGCCAAGTTCTGCTCTGCAAAAATTTTCTCACTTCTGTGAACTAAAATCTTTGAACCTACAAATCTGGGGAGGTGCGTCACAAATATTATCGAATTCATAAAAACTGCCTAATTTCCAGAAGGCGACATTCGAATAATGGTCAACCAATAAATAATCACACGTCTCATTAGAGAGACAATAAAGAAACAATCCCATTGGAATGACGCGAAGCATCGTCATCAAAATAATCGATAGTAAAGTTAGCACGAATAAGATAATAGATTATAGTTACTCAAGTTGAGTTAATTCTGCGCAGTTCTGGCTGAAGAAGGTGAGTAGTTAAGGGAGAATGACCTGACGTGTGTGTGTGTGAGATTGGCCCTGGGTGTCGGAAGCCAATTAAACTCACAAGAATGCGAAACGCAGTTCTTAGTTGCAATTTCCTGGCTCAACATCGAAATTTGTTCTTTACCTGGAACCCTGCAGCAGGCAGACGCTCAGGAAGTCCTTCGAGGTGCCGTTGGATTTCTACGGTTTTAATGCTACCAACTTATACACATAACGCTGTACGTGGTGACGTACTTGGTTCACTTACGTAAGAGTGATAAAACTCGACGAGTCGTGATGACTATTTTTGGTGAATTATGCCAACTCGGAGTCATAAAGAAGGAGCAAAAGAGGCGCCCTTAGGATCGCTTCTTCGATACCGCAACTTTTACCGATGTAGGAATGGCAAAATTCCTTAAACACACAATGAACTGGCTACTATTTAACAGTAGATACCGATTGCTGCGACTTGCTCTGTCAACAATTTTTTCAAAAGCAAAAATATGACCTCTGTATTTTTGACTGCTTCCTGCATTTGACTCTGTCATGCAAAACACGGTTACATAGATATTACGTGTAGGTACTTTTGGCAAAACTAAAATTTTACACTTCATCAGAAGTTCAACAATAAATAAATGAAAGCAGTGATATTTTCACCAATTGGAAACTGATTTTTTTACCATTTCCTTTAAATCCTGGTAAGGATAAAAATGTTCTTGAAATTATTTAAACGACAATAAATCTGTTTATATGGGATTTGCTTAAAGAAAACTATGATTGAATTAAGAAAATGAATATTAAATTGCTTTATAAATGTTTCAAATATTTGCTGGCATCGTCTATTCACTTAAGCACTAAAGTGGCGAACTGATGTCAAATAAAGAGTTATTTAATATTTGTAAGCTCATTCTGTCATCGCTCGTAGAAATTAATTAATTTAAACGTCAAACATTTTTGATTTGCTCAACTACTCATAAACAAAATCCCCAGCCTGAATAAAACTTAAAGGTGCCTTTCTTTGAAAAAAAAAGTACAGAGTGCCCACAATATATGACTGCCATTGGGTGCCTACCCCACCGATTAAAAACACACTAATTGTTCAACTCTGCAATTATTTTTAATTAATTGACTGACTGCATTGTCATGTATTAATTATTCTCTTAAAAATCACTAACAGCATTTTCCATGACTGTAAGACGCTAATGGCATTGATGCCATGAAGAGCAGTTAGCCTTCCTTCCCTCCTCGTTGCTTCAGAGGGCGCTTCACGGTTGAATGCTACGTTTTTAAGTGTCTGCTGACAACATCGCTTGTTATTTTGCTTATTCTTATAAATACTGACGATAGACGTCGGCACTCTAGTCTAAACCAAGCTCAACAAAAAACGTACAAGTGACTGAAACTAAGGCTCACAAATAACCTTCAGTGACAACCTCCCTAAGCATTATGCAAAACACAAAATTTTGGCTTCGTTGCTGCAGCTTTGTTGTCAAGTCTGGTTTGAATAGATCGAAATTGACCAATTAGGACGCTACATGTCTTGGGTCTAAATTTCGCAAGCGCAAAATAAAATTGCCAATTTGCAAGGCTAGATGTGAGCTAACGTATACGAAGTGAAAAGAGTTTAAGGCCAATACCTACTTCAGTTGGGAGGTCGACAACGCTTTCTGTACAGTCGTTTCCTGCGCAAGAGCAGACTGAAATTCTGGCCGATCAATGATTAATTTCAACATCCTGCCGCTTATCGAAACCACATTGAGCACTTGTGATTTCTGTGATTCACGTTTCTTTTCATCGGCCAACCCATTTGTAAGTAATGTGAATGCATTATCTTCTCCTTCCTCAGTTGTTGGTTTCTCATCCGCGGGTAATTCAACATGCACACTGATTACTTCATCTGCTTGAGACCTTTTTTCGTCTGTCTCAAACGAAGTTGTGGAGGACCAGTCGTCGGTGTCGCTTAAGACGTTGCTGTCCAGATCAGGCACCAGCGTCGACGGTGGGGTGGGGGGAGTCTCATTGGGTGGTGGCAGGTGAGCCGCGATTCCCGCGGGCAACTTGCGAATGTGGGGATTCCGGACGCGCTCTTGCAGGGCTGCCATCACTTTGGCTGCGTGAAGTTTGCCCGTTTTGAAGGCGTCCTCCAACCACACAGATAGGACTTCCTGGTGGTTCGCCTCCACGGGCGCCTTATTAAACACCTCCACTTGGAACACCTCGGCCCAGTCCACTTCCGGATGCAATGAACCAAGCAGGGCCTGGATCTCCTTCAGACCCAGGCTTTTCGGCAACTTCGCGTGAAGAGGAGTTCCTGGTGGGTGAGCTGGAGAGGCGGATACACACAAATTGTTTTGTGCAGATGAAGCGGTTAAGGCCGATTGTCGTGATGAACGGTGGGATAATACGCCATCTTCACCAATAGAACGAAGACTGTTCAACTCGACTGAAAACGCGTGCTTATCAGTCTCCAATGCCAACGAGTTGTTATAATAGGCGAAGGAGACGGATGCAGTGTAACTTTCCAGTGGTTGGTTATGTAGGAGTTTTTGAGCCAGCTCCTAACGCAAAGGCAGAAATGAATAAGGATCGCACATAAGGAAACAACATGAAGACTGCATCGACCTCCCAAAGTACCATTTTGCAAATTAACAATTACCAGTTGTACTCAGGTAGCTGTGAACATTTGAGAAGTCTGGAAAGCTCAAAACCACAATAAAAGCAATAAGCATTAATGACTTCCCCTTCGCCGCGACGGGTATTAAACACACAAGACAATGTAATTTTAGTGAATCGAAGAGCGCGCTTGTGTATCTGTACAAAACATAGCCCTATTTACTAAAAAAGCCATTTCAATTGAGGTAGAAATTAGTAAAAATGGAGGAACTAGGAGTCATTTTAAATTATTTGGGACTGAATTTTTAGGAGGCTGCTAACGAAGTAAAGGCAACCCTCTAAAGTAGCAGACACATCCTCCGTGTTTGTAAAGGTTGTAACCGAGTTTCTCAAGATCCCCATATATATATCAGTGCCTTTAAACTTGAGCAGTTGGTTTACTTCGAGATAGCATCATCGGCCAGTCACACAGTATTCCCCGGAGACTGACGTGACTGATAGGTGTTAAAGTAAGTCAGCACCTCCACGAGCCAGATATTTTCATTTAGCTCTAGCACAGCCCACTTCTGGTGCAACACTCTTCCAACATCCGAGAAAAGACAGTTTTCAGCTTTACTAGCTTAGAGAAGTGAAATTCTAAAGCAATTGGACGGTAAATGCCACTATCTTTAAGCACATTACTATACAAGAGCCAAGAATAAGGGCTGTTTCAGCCTCAATATTTAGCATACGGCTTTGGAATCAGCCGAGGGAGCTACTTGCCTTGACGTAGGGATCGGTTATGTGCCTTCCAGAAGCCTGCATGAGTTGGATGACACGAACCACCGCGTCGGCCAGGTTGGCGTTAATGAAAGGGATGAGAAATTTCCTCACCGAGGTTGGAAAACTGTCCCCATAGTGAATGCGGAGTTGTTTCACCATGGTATTTCTGCCACTCCCTTTAGTTCCTGTCAAATGATGAGTGAAGTCAATCAGTATTTGCAAGTCTACAGATTTTATGTTAATTGAATACGAATTTTGAAAAGAAATGTGATCTATAAAAATAATTATGAAGTGGGGCTTGGCATGCTCTGCTTGACGATTATTTTCGTAATTCCCAAGATTGGGCATCTTGCATTCATCTTTCGTCTTCTGCTAGAGCAGTCCCGAGCATCAAAGGCTACATTAAATGGCATTGTCGTAAGGTGGGTGAAGGGATTAGAAGGGAAGCGAACCACAGGCTTCGTACGGACTTTCAAAAAAATACCGCGTAATAGGGAGTTCTGTATGAGGCTGTGGGGCTTCCCACAATATACCTTAGTCCCCGATTCAGAATAAGGGTTCTTTTGAAGTAAATAAGTTTAGCATTAATAACAACCCTGTGAATTAAGTATTTTGTTGGCGTTGTGGGGAAAGAATGTCTTGGTTCGCATTGTGTGCCATTCGCATGAAGTATTGTAGCGGCTTATCCATTCAGCGTGTGCGTTATTGCTACTTTTAAAAGTGGCGCCATGGCAATCTGGAGTTTGCGAACGGGCATTGAAGCGAACACCTATCTAGTCGCTCATGACTGTCATATTTTAAAAAGGATTTTGAGACTCGTCAACGCACACATGAATAAACCATCCGCCGAACACCGATAGAAACAACGCCGGAAAACTGAATAGCTGCTGGAAGAAAACAGATGCGCTCCTTACTTCGTTATATTTTGCACTCAAAATCAAACACCAAAATGTTTCAATTCTTTGAATAACCTGACTTACTTCTAGAAAATAAAATTGGAATACTTCAGACATCCATGTTGGCTTGTCCTTTCATAAAACTGGAATAAATATTTACCGCTGATAGGTAGGCTGTGGTGGTGCATGAAATCACATCCAAATGAAACTGATGCGACGAATACAGGCCACTTCCCGAGTTATTTAAATGTCATTCAACTTGATTAAAACATTTGCAAACATTTAAAATTGCACCACCATAGGTATTTGTGGTTGCGACGTATGCAATCAAAAATTCCATCTAATCCCTATCTTATTTGCATTAGATGCACAACAGCTTAAATTTAAGTCCCTAAACCAGAGCAGTAGATCATTAGGTAGCTCTGTTTTAATACAAACAGTCCAAATGGTTTTTTTCACATTTCATCTTCTTATTTGCTAAATTGTGCATTTAAAACCTTGTATTTTTAAAGTTGTACATTTAAAAATGTTTTGGTATCTGCCTTTTGGGGAATCCCTTCATTACTAGAATCGTTTGAAGCCTGTTTTCAAGTAAATTTTTTGTAATTCCGTGCGCTTAAACTGTGATTTTTATCAGACCACATTAACCAACACAAATTTTGAACCAAAGAATCAAGAAGACTATCAATGACCCAGAGGCCGTATCTGGAGGAAGTTGACAGATTCGGTTACCTCGCGTGGTCGAAACGAAGTTCAAGATGCAAGTTGTCTCACATCAGTTTTCTCAAGTCACAATGCATCACCCCTACCCTCAAACTCATATTTTAACACCATGAACTAAAGACAAAAATTTCAGAGGGCAGCAATGGAAACGTGGTCACGGGATGTGACGACTGTAACCGTTTGTAAAAAAACATCAAATCTAGAAATGTAGCCAGCACTTGGACCAAATGTGTCAAAAAACACGCCCCACCTCCAGTTGCCCTTGCAGACTGACTATCGATTGAACCCTCTCATTCTGATTGCGCCTGCACAGGCACGCCAAACTGAGCAGCCAAACAACGCTGCTTGTGGTTTTTCACATCAATTCAACAATGAAAACGCAACTGGTGGCTAGCTGGGCAGGAGTCAAGAGTCTTTAGAGGCGGTTGTCTCATCAACCGTCCCGTCAGTGTGGGCTGTGCGTTGTATATACCAAACTGCTGTCGAGTCGTTTCCTCCTTTTTTAATCAGTCAAAATTTGGAAAATCACACGGCTGATGCTTTGTTAACCTGTCTACAAGTATTCTACTTGTCTGAATTTAATTAGCATTGCTGTTGGAAAATTCAGTGCCAAGTTTCTTTATCCCATTACCTAAGAGAAGAAGCCGAATCTCCCGACGAGAGATTTCTTGATCTTCGAGCAGTTCCTGGTCAATTAAAAAACTCCGCAAGCTTGAACGGCGGCATCTTGTCTACAAAGCGGATGCAACAAATAAAGTCACATTTCCCACATTCACATGTCGGTACTCCCTGCTAACGTCGTGATACCTGACTAATACACCAGCCATTCACAAGTAGCATGCCATGCGAAGCTTTGTAAGTAACCTTCCGAAATCCACCGGGGAAGTACACATAAAAACAGTAGTTTGGTTTTCCATTTGATTCAAACGTGGCAAAAATGGCCTTGCAAGTTATTTGGACGCTCCAAGTCTGCACAAAATTCTATTTAACCGTAAACCTAACTCAAACTTCAACAACCGGGTTGCACAAGTAGTCGTTACTTACCACCTTGATGACACTCTCGCGAAAGCATCTTTGAAGAAGCATGCGTTTCCTGAAGATGGAGTGGCAATCCGTTGGAGTCTTCATGTCACCCCAAGTAATATGTCTATTTCATATACCTTAGATATGAAAAGGGAAGACTAGCAGCAGATTTGGTCGCACCAGATTTTGCATCAGCTGCTTGTCGAATTGCATCTCTTCAGATTTTACCGAGGGTGACGTCTCTCTGTACTTGGCTTCTACAACTGTATTTTTCCTCCCACCACCAAAATGAACCAGAACGACCCATGCGACTCTTTTGCCATTTCCATGCGTTTTTTACCTAAGTTGATTTTACTTTAAACTGGGACTCCGAATATCCATTCTGCCACGCATTTAACATTGAAAATTTGTTTGCATTTTAATGATGCTACCCAGAATGCGGTTATTCCTAAAACTTACTAGCAAAATTGGAATGCCTGCATGAGCTACGCTACATTGAGACATAAAGTGGCGGAACCACTACACAGGATAGGAAATATTCTATTTGGCAGCACAATGACCTACCTGACAGACCGTGATAAAAAGCAGATGGGCTCACGCAATTACTTTGTCCCGTAGAGAGTGAGCAAGACGGAAAATATCTTCGTCAAATTTTGCGAAGAATGTCATTGGTCATTCACAATAAACCAATCATGTGTCGCCGCGCCAAGGTTGCTGCTTCCTCTTCCTGACCACATCCTGATAATTAGGGGTATGTGTGTGTGTGTGTGTGTGTGTGTGTGTGTGAAGTCATTCACTTCGTCCCGAGTTAGGAAAGCGATGGATTTCAGGAGCATGAAAAGATGCCTATCTCACATTGCATTGTTGCCTGATTGATGGGAAATCAAGTGATTTGTGGCAGGTTAGCCATTGTGTTTTCACAACACGTTTCAGTTGAGTATTTAGTGAAGCTATTACTCGTTGTTAAAGTCGGCACACAAATTATAAGGGAGTTCGTAGGGGTTCGCGAGTACAAAAAGAAGCTACTTCTCCGATAGTTCATTTTGTGTGTTCAATAACGGCACCAACGTCCGAGTCGCCTTTAATTAACTACGTTTGCATTGCTAGAATATGCGGTTTTTACCAATAAATTTTGAAAATGTCCCCATGCTTGGTACCTGCACTGAAGAAAGTTTTGTTCAGGGGCCACAATTGGTAGGTTGGCGACGATGTAATTTCGCAGCGAATAAATTTCAGTCAAGTCCACATTTTCTATTATACCTAATTCCCCTATCTAAAGACCCTTATTGGTAAGAAACAGGCTGTTATGGTTTCACGCGTGCGAACGTCGGTACAGATGACAATCTGATAATGAGAAATGCGACGCAGTTTCCCATCCAAACTCCCATACTTCTCTGCAGGTTGAAGTAGATGATCTGGGGACCTGTACTGAATTGAAAGAACACTAGTCCTCTGCATTTACCTGTCCCGGCTTTTATTTCCCTGCCTGATTCTTCAAACTTTTAACTATTGGCTGCAATCATTTGTTTAAGCATTTAATTCATCATAAGCCACTACATTGAAAACATGATATTTATCGTGCTATTCAGTTTTTGTGAGATGTGTACTTGTCCAATCCTCTTGGATCATGAGTAATGCGATTTATTTTAATAAAAGCAATTTATTTTTCTATTTGAAGGCGGTTCTTTTTTTGTAATGAACGATCTTATTACTTTTGAAATACTCATCTCAAATGGCCGTTCTTTTTTAAGTGATTAATAACAGCTTTCTTACCGGGTGGATAAAACCGTCAAAATGCAGCCGAGCGTTCTCCTCCAGTCAGTGCTAAACTGACACAGACGAGAAAACTGCTGTTAATTTGTTTTTGACGGCACCTCTTTTGTGGGGTTGTGGGAGTAGTGATTTATCAGAATGAGGTTTAGAAGCGAATTCAACCAGAACTCAGTTTGCTTGAGGCGAGTCGAGTTCATTAAGGCAACTGTTGGCAAGAGCCTGCTTCGGAAACTTGGGCGAAATCACGCGGTAAAAGTGAACACTAACACTTTTGACCCGTAATTTCATTGCATCTTGGACGTGCACACTTCCACCACGTCGCTATCAGATTTTGTTTCAGCTCTGTTCTTACTTCTCATTAAGATTTTTCAAAAGTAAGGTTTTCCTTCCAAAAATTCACAGAATTTCGCGTTGCTTAAATCTGGAAGGAATATTGTTTAAGCATCCTTTACTGCTGCTGCCGCATAGGTTTGAATGATAACAGATAACATCAAGAGCATCACCAACATACCACTGTATTTTATGTCCTCTATTATGGGAAAGTGGCCTGTAAAAGTCACCCGCATTGACGGTGTATGATGAACGTAGGCGTATATAACGTGTCGCGAAGCCCCAAACGAGGGCAATTTATTCTTCCAAGTCTTCCATCGCGTGTACGCAGAAAGTCCAAAATTGCCATTCACGGAAATCCACGAGTGAAGGTTTTGGTGACTCTCGCATGTTTTGCAAACCCTGCTCTCCCACAATTCTCATTACAGAGAAGAATTCAACATCTGAAATTCTGTCTACTGTAGTTCGTTTCTGCTATAATCGCATGGTGCGATATCTGCATACTGATTGGATCAAAGAGAATGAACTCATTCCCTTGCGATGTTTTCGCCTGTATTAATTTTCACAATTCAAATTTTATTCTGGTGTGGAAAAGAGCCACTGACCTTGTAAACAACTGCTTGATGAAAGACG